TGGTGCATATCCATGTATAATGAGTATAAAATCTTAAGCATGTGAGTAATTTCATTACTAGTTGATGATTTCATGAAGTGCAGTGGCCATGAAAGTCATTACAACCCCAACTTTGACAATGAATACTTGGTTGATTAGACACAAGTATGGATATGATGAATAATACCTAATTTATTGAATCAGTTTCGAAATAATTGTCCCGTACCTATATCTGTAATTGTTTTAAATTTATAGAAACTTAATTTATTTTTTTAGAATTTATTTAATATTTATGTAATTTTTATTCTATTTCAAATGAAACTTAATTAATATAATATTGTAATTATTACTTTACATTAAAAATTTTGTTTTTTTAATATTTTTTTTACAAAAAAAATTAATTAATTTTTCAGAACGTACAACATAGATACATATATACTCGATATCTGACAGAAATAAAGATATAAATTTCATACCTAGATAATATGAAGACAGAGATATGAATAAGATAAAAGAACAAAAACCAATTTAGATACTGAAATTCCTACACACATCATAATGGTGCTATTCCTACTTTTAAAATTTTGTTGTACATTATCTTTTGTATTTATTTATTTTACTACATCATTTATTATATCTCTAAAAAAAATCTTAATCGTACAAATTATTGCGAAAGAAACATTTTTCTTAGGTTTTATGGAGACTGGAGGGTTCTGTTTGTCCTTATTGAGAGCTGAGTCAGTAGTGGCTGTGAAGCAACTAGCCCGTTGGTGACTGGTGAAGCCAACTTCTCCTTCGTATTCACCATGATTCAATTTTAGTGGTGAAATTTAAGAAAAATAATTAATGAATTATTCTTTTAATTAATCTTTTTTCACAGCCCTTCATGCCTTCATCTTATCTCTTCCCACTTGTCTTCACTCGCACGTTTTTTTTTTCCTTCTTATTTTTGGCCATTTTTTTCGTATTTTATTACTTTTCCACACTAGTGAGTTGTAGTTGTCATTGTGAATGCACGTTTGATTTTTTGGTCTATGATGGTTTTTATTTAATTTTCTTGTTATTTTTCTCATTCTAAAAAATTATATTTGTCAAATATTGTCATTTTCATCTGAATTTTTCATGTACTTTATATCTTATATTTTTTTGTTTGAACTTGTGAAAGTGAATAGCGTGAAGGTACCAAGTAGTCTCGAATTTTATGTATGTGCATGCATTTTAATTTAATTTTCTTTTCAAAACGACCATAAATGTCTAGTGCAGTTTTTTTTTTATAATTTTTTTTTCAGGATTCTTATTATAACATAAACTTGGCAAAAGATGAGGGCCATTAGATGTGAAATAAGTACGATAAAGAAAATAAAAAGGGTAAGTGGGTGGCTAATAAAATTTATATGCAGAGAAATGTAAGATGTTTTATTTGCGTAACCCAATATAAAGAGTGCATGTCTAAAATAATTTGCTTCTTTTGATTGAGAAAAAATAAAATTTGTTGGTTTGAATTAGAAAAATGAAAAATTATATTTAAAAGTTATTTATTCATTTAAGTTTTGCTTAGCTTTCATGTTTATGTCATGGTGATTACACGTAGTGGTAGATTACAGGAAAATGTGAATTTAGAAGATAGCATATTGTAAGAATAAAGCAAATTAAAATGTTATGGTCACTATTTCACGACACTTTCGAATTCTATGGTGTATTACTTGTTGGAAGCTCAGAGACGGAAGAATATTGGAAGTTTGGAACCTACTACAAACTCTATTCCTTCTTAACCTACAAAATTGTGTCTGAATTGGCTTCATGCTCAGAAATTATTACTTTTTTTTTTAATGATAAAGACAAAGCAACAAAGAAACAGTGTTTGAATTGGAACACAGATGATAATTAATGTATCTATACTGTTAATAAACGATATTGTTTCATTTAGTGTTGATATATTTTTTTATATAACTTTATTTTTATAATTATTTTTTATAAAAATAATAACTTTTATTTTATTTTATTTTATAAATTTTACTTTATAAATACATGTATTTTTAATAATTATTTATTATTATATAATATTTTTATTATTAGTTATTTATTAAAAACAATTTACAAAGGCTCGAAATATTTTTTTTCTATGCCGGTGAGAAATAAAAGTGATTCAGAAGAAAAATCTATTAACATGTGGTAAGCCAAATTTTTTGAAAAACTAAAAGTTGACAAAAATTGATGATACTTTGAAGTAATAATATAATTATTAAAAATTATAACTAATAACAAAATATAATGAATGAAAATCTAGATCGCAATTGAATTGATAATTTTCAATTTATATCTATTATAAAGGAATTTAGAAGAATGTAATCGTTTTTTATCTCTATTTCTTGTAAAATATAATTTTTACTAATTAAATATTATTTTAACATGGAGAATTGGAGATAGTATGCCCTGCTGTGATTCTTATAATTCTTCGATTTGTTTCTTTTATAAGTATATATGTATTCATATGCTCGTACATTCTCATTCTTACGAGTCTAATTGTTTATTGTTTATTTATAACCCAAAACATGTTGGGCTTTCTTACGGTCCAATTTTTATGGTTCTGTTGTGTGTTGATGATATATACACCTCTATTTTTTTATACATACACCTCTTTTTTAAAGAAAAAATATTAAATTTCTAAATTATCTTTAATATTATTTGAAATAAAAAAATATTATCCTGGAAAATTTTTTCGGAGATGTATTTGTACATAATTATGGAAAGTTCTTTTCGGAATACTAAAATTACTATTCCGGAAATAACTTTCCGTCGGAATAATTCTGGAAAGTACTTTCCGTAACACTAAAATTACTATTGCGGAAAGTTCTTTCCGGAATTATGGTAATAAATACACACACTGTTAATATTCCGGAAAGAATTTTTAGCAATAGTAATTCTAGTGTTACGGAAAGTATTTTTCATAATTATTTTGACGGAAAGTTATTTCCGGAATAGTAATTTTAGTATTCTGGAAAGTACTTTCCGTAATTATTCTGACGGAAAGCTCTTTTCGAAAGGCTAATAATATATACACCTCCTATTTTTTTTTATAAGTACACCTTCTTTATTTTTTTTAAAAAATTATAAAATATTATATATATTTTTTAATTTTATACCTTTAACTTTCAATTTTCTACTTTTTTCTTTTTTTTTCACACTTTTTTTTTCTCTTTCGATTTTTACATGCTACCAAAATAAGTGGGGTGAAAGAAAGATAACGGGGTGCATGTAAAAATTGAAAAAAAAAAAAGATCTGTAAAAAAAGTACTAAATTAAATGTTGTGAATGTAAAATTAAAAAAAAGGCAAAAAATTAAGAATATTTTAAAATTTTAATTATTATTTTTGAAAAGGAGGTGTACTTATAGGAAAAAGGAGGTGTATATATCATCAACCTTTGAAAAACACTTTCCAGAATAATTTTTTTTATTCCAAATAATATTAAGGATAATTTATGAATTTAATTTTTTTTATTAAAAAAAGAGGTATATGTATAAAAAAATGGAGGTGTATATATCATCAACCGTCACTAAGTCTTAGGAGAGAGTTCATTTCATTATGTATATTCCTTTTCTTTTTTATGTCTGATAAATTTTATAAAATGTTTTTTCAGGCCCAACGAATTTGCAGTCCAACAAAGGCAAGTGATATATACACACATATATAGGAATATATAGGAATACACAGTATAATTTTTACTAAGTATTATACTGTTTAATAACTTTATATTAAATATGAATTTTGTAAATCTAACCGTTAGATTGAAAGTTCTTTACTTTCAGATCATATATACAAAATTTTATATTAATCCAAGAAGATTTGATACTTCATTCTTATAAAATAAAATTGATGTAAAATATACATTTCAAAATATACTAAAATATGAACACTTTGATCACCTTCAAGTTGTTTAATTTTAACAAAATTTGATATAAACATATAAAGTCATATGAACTTTCAATCTAACGGTTGAATTTACAAAATTCACATTTAATATAAAGTTATTAAATGGTGTAATATTTAGTAAAAGTTACACCGTTATTATTATAACCCTCCTTATATATATATATATATATATATATATATTGATATATAGATACAAAGAAAATTATATAAAATTTAAATCAACATCATATAAATGAAATTTGGAGGACTCATCTATTTAACAAATATCGAACTAAATTTGGCTCTCATCTGACTAACCCATATATATATATTGAAATTGAATTATCAATCAATTAAAAACTATATTAAAATAAAATTTATTTAAGAAGGAAATCAAGTGATAACGGATAACACGAGCACCATACTTTATGTAATGGAATAAATTTTAATTTTAATTTTTTAATTTTCTTTTATAAAAATCATATGTAACTCAAGAGGAGCAATTTTGCTTGAACTTATGCTAATTATTGATAACAAAACTCTTTTTTAAATATTTAATGTAACTATATATATGTATCCTTGATTTAAATTCAATACTATTTATTAAAATAAAACAATCTCGATGTGCTAAGCTTCATATCTATTATCTTGTTAGAAGAATTTTTTTTAATGTATGTCCATGTGAATTAATGATAGAAGTGATATTGAGTGTGTAAATTATTGTTTAAAGTGAAGTGAAACTATGTTACTTTCTTTTTTTTTTTTTTTCGTTCTTGGATATCCACCGCCGATAGCAGTGACTAATCTCCTCGTTAAATTATTGTTACTTTTGTTTTTAGTTTCATTCCTTAGAGGATCTTCAATTATTTTGTTAAAAGAAAATAATGTGTCACTAATTTGCATATAAAAACATATTTTGCGTGTACAATATATAATGTAATCATATATGAATAATAAAAAAATTAGGGATCATATTATTGATTAAAAATTCTTGTGCGCGTACATGTGTTATACAATTAATATAAAACCTAAAAGTTGAATAATAATTATATGATCAAGTTCAACTAAAAAAACTATATAAATTTATTTTTTAATTTAAAAATTCAAATATGATTCAATAATTTATACTTGTTAACTATTATCATTTCTTAGAATAACTAAACATAGTCACATATATATACACACTTCCATGGAGACAGACATAACAAAACTAAATTGTTAAAATGAAACTGTTGTATCAAAATAGTGAGAAACAATTGGTACGATAATTAACCAATAAAATTATCAAATTTATTACCCCCTCCCTCTGTGTTACCCTTTAAAGAATCTTCCACCGGATCTCTAAAATGTTTACTCATACCCCCTAATTTCTTTATCATTTTGGTTTTGAAAACTAAGGTATTAATAGAAGTCTGCTTCCTTCTAAGCATCGAGCTCGTAATGAAAAATAGGTGCACCAAAGGAACCCAAATCACCAAAAATGATGTCATCAGTTTCATTGTAGATACCTGAATCTTCACTTTCAAAAATTGTTTGAATGTCTTCAGGGAAAGTGCGTCTTGAAGGATTTGATTCTGCAGGTGGTGGAGGGTAATCTGTAGTACTTGAAGAATTCTTTTCTATCATTTCTTTGAATTTGGATGATTGTAGGAGTATCCCAAGTGCAGAAGATGTTGTGGTAGCACCACTAGAACCCTCTTCTCTTGTCTCATCGCTGGATGAACCAAGATCATGCGACACAAACCCTAGTTCAAGTTCAGGATTTGTGTTTAGATTTTCATTGCTGGGATTTTGATGATTTTCTTCAGTGTTGGGACGTATCCAATTGGCATAACGGCTAAGGTCAAAGTTTGTAACGGCGTTAAGTCCTCTGTACTCTATAGCTGCCTTATCATATGCTGCAGCTGCCTCTTCTTGTGTAGCTGTTCATAATATATAACCAAAATGCAAACCACATTTACTTTAATTCCAAGACTTAATCGCATATTTTCTCTTTCCATTTCTATATTTTATTATTCATTTATCAAAATTTTACATGCTTTTATTTTATTTTATTAATGGATTATATATATAACACATCTATCATTTACGAAGGTCACATCATTTGTATATCACATTAATTATAAATTCATTTCAATAGATAATTTATTATATCAACAATCAACGTGTTAATAATTAATTAATAGTATTATATAGTTAACTATTATGATGACAAAATATATAAAATTTTATTTCTTAACTGTTAAATTTGCACATTTTGTCATCAAATTTTCAAAATTTTGTACAATTTACTTTTTTAATTAATTATTAATGTGATATATTAATTATTTACATAACATATTAATGATCAAAACTAAACATTATTTTAAACCATCTATATGTCATATCAATAATCAATAAACATCAAATATACAACTAAAAATGTAATAATATATTTAAAATTTTATAAATTAGATCGTAAAACATGCACATTAGAAAATTTGCCACATGATGACAAAAAAAAGTATAACCAAGTTTGATTTGCATCATGGTATGTATATGTTGGTTTAGGAATTAATATAATTTGATTTCTTATGGTTTGGTTGAAATTAAAAGACAAGAAAAGAATGATGTCATTATTAATTAGCTTTACTAAGCAGTTGAAGTTTGGTGATCTATATCGCAACCAACATGATTTGATTGCATGTGTTGACCTTTATATTTGTCCTAATATTATGATCTGTGGGACCATGTTGAAACAAAGTAGGTACATTCTTGTTATAACTGGAAAGAATGGTCAAATAGATTTTCAAAATTTCAGGTAATCAGTACATCCTAATTTATCAAATACCGCTGGACCTATGTTAGTTTGATTCGTTTATCATCAATCAATACAAACAAACATGTATACTTTAATTTGTTCATTATTTTATAGAGCTGACAAAGACCTTTCACACGTACATGTTTTGTAACTTGTAGCAAATATAACAAAAATGATTCTGAGATCGTAAGCAAATACTTTCGAATGCTAAGGCCATATGTTCATTCTAGAAAAGAGTTTTTATTTACTTTTGAAAACTGTTAACTGTATATATTTTTTTACACATTTTTTTATTAATACATATATTTTATGTTAAAGACGAGAACATATTAGATTTTAAATATAAATTTATAACTTAATCTATTTAAAGTCTAATTTGACTTAATTTATTTAATAAAAATAAATAAATTTAAGTTTTAAAAATATTTACTTATTTAAATAAATTAAGTTTAAACTTATAAGAAAGTTTGTTAAATTTGATATATATTATAATAAATATTAATTTACACATTACGTTATTAATAATATAATTAAATAAATAAATTTATAATACATAAAATTAAATTATTAATATTTTTGATATTTTTACTAATCTAATTAAATGTTATTTGTTAATATGAAATCAAGAAATGGAAAATAGAATAATCATATCTTTGCATGCTCATTTTTTCCTTTATCTTCATAATTGTTTATTTAGAATATTTTAAATAAAATATAAAAAATATTTAGAATTTTTTTATAAGATTATCTTCTTTCATACCACTTATCTGTGAATGTACATTAGTATATATGAGTTGTCATTCTTACATTAATTATTTATTTTTATTTTAAATTTTAAATTTTAATAATAATAGAATAAATTATTTTTCATCACAAAAATTTTAAAAAATCATAAGCATATTTAAAAATAATTTTGTTAACTTATTTAAAATTAAATTTATTAATTTATTTAACATTATTAATATAAAATCATTTTTTATATAGATTAACAGGTCAAATTAAGTCAGATCAAACTTAAAAAAATTATGATAAATAATAAGTTAGACTTAAATTTTAATTTTATATAATAAATCTAACTTGTATATTCAAATTCTACCCTAACTTTACTTACTCTCACTCTATAATACTCAATGATCTATAAATTTATTTTTTGTTAATGAAATTCACATACAATTGTAAAATGAAATAATATAGATCGATGCATGTAGTTTCTTTACATGGTATTAGATCATATAGTTAATGAAATTACCATAAGTTCCGAGGTATAGATATTTGTTGCCGAAGACCCTGCCAATTCGGGCTTCCCATCTTCCGTTATGGTGGTGTCTAAACATTTAAAACTAAAATTCAGAGCATTTTCCATCAATCTAACTATTTACATAAGTATATGGAGAGGAAATGCAAATGTCTAAAGGAATGAACCCTAAAGTTAGAGATATTAATTGAGTAACTAGTATAGATAAATGCTAAGATTTGGTTTAAAACATTAAATAATATAAGTTTCATCCAATTATTAGTATGATTATATATATGATCATGGTATCACACGTAATATTTTTTATTTGATCGAACTTTTTCCAATATGCAACCTCAATCAATGTGCATCATAAATGACCGAACTTATGGATTTCGAACCTATATAGGTATTTTTTGTTATAGGTAAGAGCCGACTAAAGTTCTTGTGTAAAAATTATTGTTGGGTAATTATTCTTTTTAATGTTTAGAATGAGGGTAATAAAATTTGAACTTATTTAAGAATGTGTGTATATTACTTAAATTTTTTATTGATGGGTCAATCCCAGTAGGTTATTATTGGATAAATTATATATATACATTTACTCTTTGTTTTCTATTTTATCTGTGCTTTATTTATTTCTTCATTTTTTTTATCACATCAATTATTATATTTATCACTTTTTTTCTACCTTTTCTTTGTCTTTTTCTTTCTTCCTTTCCTCTGCCCCAATCCACCTCATTGAACCCATTCTACCAACCCAGAAAAGAAAATAAAAACATATTTTATATTATTTATCTTTTCTCCTCTCTTATTAAATTGACTTTTTATTAAATCAGCTACTACTTTAATTTCTTTTTAACTAACTTAATTACCACTTTTTATTTATAAATATTTTGTACGTATATTCGCGTGTACCCCACTCTTTGAATTCAACAAAGATACCGTTGATTTAATTTGTTGACCATGATCTACCGGTAGAAGAGATTCAAATGATACAAAACCCAAATTAGTTTAGCTAGTTCAAAAAGTACCCCCTCTCCCCCACCTTGACTTAGGATAAATTATTATAGGATATAAGACATTATAGTCTCAACTAAGAAAATCCAAATCCTACATTCATTATAAACACAACCAAAATAGTACATTATGGAACTTAAAATTTTCTCAATAATTATTAATTTTTCCTCTAAATTTAGATTATATATCATACTAAGATTAATTGAGAGTTTGAGACTAGGGGTATAAGGTGGTTTGTAGTAATAGTTTGTCCTGATTAAAGTAGATATAATTTTTTTTTTTGCAAAACCTAAGCCTTTTGCAATGAACAGAGCAAGGTTCAAATACCTTGCTACGCCTCTGTATTTTGAAACTCCCCGAGAGAACCCACTACTTTTTCTGCACAATTAAGATTTATTCATGAGAGTAGAATATTATAAGAAACGGCTTCAATAGCTCCAAAAATAGAAAGAGACGAAGAAAAAGCTTCAGAAGTGACCTATTAAAATATTTTTAGTGGATTTAATAACTAAAAATTAACCTTCTCAAGGACCCAATATATTCTTCCTTTGACTGGCCCTCCATCTCCTTGAGCTTCTCCTCATAATTCGACAACTACGACCAAAAACATACACATATAGTTAATGAAGTGATCAAATCCGATATCAGAATAATTAAACACATATTTCACCAAAGTATCATTCGAATTGAAGATGAAAGAAATTACTGGAAAATTGAGAATGGTATCTTGGCCCCAGTACTTCAATGCTGCCAAGTCATAGGCACGTGCTGCAGCTTCTTCATCATCATATGCCCCTAACAAACCCAATTTTGCAATCATTAAATCGTCCCCATCCGATTCCACCACATATTTTCAATTCTCAACGCCAAATTAAGGGAAAGAAATGATGAACAAAAAAATATATTAACCAAAGTTTTTGATATGCAAACAAACCAATTAAGACTCAAATCATACCTAGATATACTGCATGTATCCAGTCATTTTCCGTTGCAATTGTCAATCATCACAACATAATTAACATGGCAACAAAACAAATAATTATATAAGAGAAGGAAGACGGAAAATCAAACTGAAAATATGTATATATAGAAAGAAAGAAAAAAGAGCAAAATAATGAAGAACTTAACCAAACCTTGTCTTCCCTTTTTGCTCTGTGATTCATTCCAGCAATTCTTATCCCATAAATGAGCCTCATATCGACCAGTCCAACGATGCCTAAGACGACATGCATGGTTCATTTTAGAACATAATCTTGGTCGTGTAATATCTAACCTAACTCATTTTTATAAAATTAGTTTATAAGTATTAATTATGGTAGCGATGTGAAACTTTTTTGAACACATGAGATGGAAAGAAAAAGAGAGAAAGAGAAAGAATGGATTAATTGAGATCCAGATTTGATAAAATGGAGTGATTAATAAATATTAATTAACCTTGTGACACCCCTATAGATTGAGCTTCGTTGTGGAGGTGAGTCTCTTGGGACGCTTTTGCGTGTCCTCTTGGCAGTGGTGGTGGAGGTAGTGTTCTTGAGGCTTTTCTGCGATTTCTTCGCCATGAAAACTCACAACTAAGAGAGGATCACTGCACTGCACACGCATACAGTTCAAGAGTGATGAAGCCATTGGGAGTTATATAAATATATGACCAAGTCATCCAATAAGAAGGGCATTAATTAATAGAAATAGTGGAGGAGAATGAAAAAGTAGGTATATTCTTTTATTTCTCTCTCTGTAATTTAATAATAAGATTTTATTTTCCCATTTTCTAGTTGATTTTGTAGCAGTTGGTAGTTGAGCAGAGTTTTGAAGATTAGAAAGATTTATATATATATATACTTTTATTTTAGTATGTGTAAATATTTATTATATATAACTAAAATTTATAATATATTACACAAATAAATAATATATTTAAATATATAAATTGTATTTTTAAGTTTATTATAACTAATATATTATAGTATAATATTATTTTATTTATTGATAATTTATTTTAAAATATTAAAATTTTATAAATAATTATGATACATTAAAATTTAATTAGATAAAAGGTTTAAAAAAATCTCTAAAAACTCTTTTATATTAAATGAGAGAATTAAAAAAGAATTCATTGAATGAGACTATACAAGACTATATACCGATTGGTTTATATATATCACAAAACTTAATAGAATTAATTGTTTTATCATAACTTTAACTAACTCTAATATTTTGCTAAAGAAAAATTTTAAAAAATATTTTTGCACAAGTTAGTCATTCATACATGAATTAATATTATATGTATATAATGTATATAATTATAACTTGAGATACACTTTATTTCTATTAGAATAAAAGAAAATACTAAAGTCTCCTTGTATTTTATTTTAAAAAATAATTAATTAAAATTAAAGATGTAGGAGTGATTAATCATTAACAGGTATGAATGATTTTTAATAATTATTTAGGAGTTCAGTTATGAGAAGTTTGAAAATTAAATTTTAAAAAAATGAGAAAGATAAAAAAGAATAAAAACTTAAATAAAACAAATATAAAAGACAAATAATGCTTTGAAAGTTAAATAAGTTTAGAAAGAAATAAAAATAAAAGAAAATAAAAAGCTAAATAAAAAGAGAGAAACAATGTTTTAGAAATTTAAAAGCAAAATAAATAATCAAATATGTATACTTAAAAAAAATATAACATTTATTAATAGTATAAATAATAAGTCGATGTAGAAAGTGTAAATTATATTTTTTAATTATAAAAAAATGAAACAAATAATGACATGCGAATCATTCCTTTCTTGATATAAACATTTCATTAATATTTTTATTTTTATTTTTTTATAACATTATATTATCTATTTTTTTTTTCTTTTCTTACTAGGTATGAAATAGGTTTTGAGGTGCATGTGCATGATTATATTGGACGGAAAAAGTACTTTTCATTGTGGCCGTCTCAAATGGAGTCCATAATGATTTAGTCACGTCTATTTCTACTTTCACATGTGTCTGTAACCATTTTGTTGCTTATCTGTAGTCCTGAAATTAATTATAGCCTCATCCATGTTTTTGTTGTTGAATTTTCCTTCATTTTGGTCGGTATCTACTATGTAGCCACTTATTCCTCCCCAATCGCCATTTCCTTTTTTGTTTCTTAAAACAAAAGTCATATGCATTTTCTTAGGGTTATGATACATCAAAACTATTGGCCTTTACTTTATACATTTGTTTGTTGTATCCTAGCTAAAATCTTAGGCCTATGAACTTGAGCTGGATGTTAATTTTTGGTTTAGGAATTCATATTTAATTAACATGACATTTATACATGTGGACATGTCATGATGATTTCTTTTGCAAATAATCCAATAAAAAGTTTCATTTTTTTTAACTATCTATTTTTAGATTGAATTTATTTATGAATACACCTGATAACGTCTCTCCTATCAACATATATAACATTCAATTACTTTTTTCATCTAATAAATCTAAAAGTAAAAAAAAAAAAAACTTAATTCATAAAAAAATATTTTATAAGTAGAGTAAAAAGACCATCAAAATTAAAGTTATTGTTCTTATTACTATAAGAAATTAGCCTCTCATCTCCTGATATTTTCCTATCAAACATTTACACATATTCTAGAGTTTAACGAACATTATTCCTTTTTATGTGCATTTAATAAAATGACCCTTTTATGTATTTTAATAACAAAAATGTTTTTTTTAACACCTAAGTATGACAGGTAATACAATTTAGTTAATGCCAAATGTTACCTTGCAGACAAAACTAAGTACAAAAGAGGAGTGTATGATTTCCGTAATTTATACTACTAAAAAAAAAATCTAATGTTAGACTAATTTATTTCCAATAACTGTCTCTAACTCTAAACTATTTTCTTTTTCGTTATTTTTTTTTTAATTTCAATGACATTCCGTTTTAAAATCTCTCGACTAATAAAAATAAGTATATAAAAAAGACAACCAAAACACTTATTTATTATTATTATTTTTACAGAGACACCACATGTCTTTTCTTACGAATATTTCATAATAATAATATTATTTTATTTAAAAACCAATAAAATCGTTTCCCGGTTTATTTCGTCTGATTCGTGCATAAATGTGTCTTACTAAATTGCATTGCTCTGTGACTCGATAAGAAGCGATCAATAGATAGAAATAATAAATGTTGTTCAGGTGTTTAGAAAAATGAAATGCATATTGCATACCCTTCATTTTATTTAATAAAAAAGTGACAAACACCCTCTTTCTCTAATGCTATCTAGGAAAAACTTGAAGAGTTTTGGTGTGATTTGAGAAGAATTAAGAAGGGGTATGAAGGCAATGTTGGCTGAAAGTTGATCATGTCTAGTGATTTCTTGGCTTGAGTTTGACCTGCAGGGGATGGAGCTTGTGGGTGGTAAGGCCAACCGTGTCCACATCCTCTCCTCCTGCTCCCTCTTTCAGCTTCCACTCGAATTCCTGAACCAATCTTCCAATTGCTGTGCAAGCTATCAGCATTGCTTGAAGAGCACCAGCACACACCCTCTTTCCTGCTCCAAAGGCCATGGTCTTGTGCAAATCCGCAGGGTCATATTTCTCATCAAGAAACCTCTCTGGCATCCACCAGTGAGGATTTTCCCACTGACTCTTGTCCATGTTACATCCATATATGTTTATTGCAATCTGCACTTATTGTTAACATGAGCTTGTCAATTAACACTAGTACCTTTTTTTTTTTTTAAAAAAAGGCAAATAATAGTTTTATTAGCTAATGACAATAGCATATATGCTACAGCAACATTACAGCATGTTCTTATGAGTAGCAACCAAAAAACACATTATGACAAATATGACTAACACTAGTAAAAATAAGCATGAGTAATCAGCTTTGCAGTATTTAACACTGGTAATTAAGTTAAGCATATACAACAACGGAACATGCATGCACGCATACGGTCAATTAAGAAGCTCAGTTAATCAACCTGGCTTCCTTTAGGTATGTGATATCCTCCAAGTTCTGTATCTTCTTGAACGCTTCTTAGAGGGACAATTGGAGCTGGACTATGCTTCCTTAAAGTCTCATGGAAGACAGCCCCTAAGTATGGAAGCTTAGATAAGTGGTCTTCAGTGAGCTTTTCATTTCCACACACTTTTTGGATCTCCTCGTAGAGACGGTCCTTCATACAACACAAAGGAAAAAAGTGACACACAGAACAGAACCAATAGAGAATGATATGGTGTTAGAAAAGATTAATTGAACAGACCAATAGATTGTTTATTAGTCAAACACTAAAGAAAAACAACGAACCTGGCGTTTTTTGTCTCTAGCAAGTTCAAACATAGCCCATTCTGTTGTGACTAATGTAGTATCTGATGTCTCAATAATGGTCTCCCAAAGCAGAATGGAAACTTGTTCTTCTGTCAGCTCTTTTGCTTCGGACAACAGGTAGTCAATGTAACAATGTATTTCCTGTGACATTCAAAACAACCAAATTGGTATCACTATTAAATGAATCTATTGCAGATTTGCAAAAGAAAGTGGCACATTATACATTTAAACATACCTTTCCTGAAGCAATTCTCTTCTTCTGCTCATCAATCAATGCCTCCATCACAACTTTCCTGCGGAAATGAATTGTCTCTATTTTCTTCTCTAGACTCCTGTTTGGAATCCATTGCAAGTATGGGAAGAAGTCTCTCCAATCCACCTCAAGTGCACCTTCCATCAGGTCAAGCACTAGAATCTTGTATATGTCATCTTTGGTCAAAGTATCACCCAGCTCCTTCACATAAAGGGATTCTACATTGGACCCCACGCCCTGCAAATTCCGCATGCTTAGTATTAAAGAATTTACAACAACTCACGCATATACTCAACCAATCTAGTTAAACCTTTTGATTATCATGCTCAATCTTGCAATTATTATTATATTTTATAATATGTCTTTCGATTAATTCTTATCGAAGGAGGGACGAGGGACTCACTTGCTTCAATCCCAGACCAAAAAGTTCAGAGGCAAATATATTCCTAAAATCAACAGCTTTAGTAGGGGAGGTCTCCACATGTTCATTAAACTGACTTAAAATGTTTGCAATCATCTCTTCTCTGTGGGAACGGTGTCGCTTCTGAATATTGGATGCAAAAACAACAAACAAACTTCAGAGGAACCAGAGAGAGACAATATACTCAAATAATCTCAAAATAACTAAAATGTTGTTGTGACCTGTGCATTGGCTCCAAGAATGTTTGAAAGAATATGCTTTTTGATCATTTTGTGAAAGTCATTGTAGTCGCTTATAGCAACCATGCATTTATCAAAAGTCAAAACCTTGAGTGCAGTTGATAGCTGCCTATTTGACATGGATGAAAATCTTGTCACCATTGCCTGAAATAACCACAAAAGGTTTAGAATCAAATCAATCAGAAATAAAAAGAATTACATGGACGGACACATGATAAAAAAAATCAAAGACCTTGTTCCTCTGTCTCTACAAATTAGTTAAAAAAAATAAAGCAATATGACTATGATTCAACAAATCCGCAGTACAAAACGCAAATATCAAACCAATCAAATCAATTTTTACTGTTTGCAAAAAACTTTTATCATTTTTCGTGATAGTGGACCTGAAAAAAAAAAAAACTAAAATGATAGTGTTAAGAATTAAGATACTGCCACCTTCACATTTGACATGACAGCGACAAACGTTTGATTTTATCATTTTATTAAATAGTTGTCAAGTCAAGAAGATCAATTTTTAATTTTTTAATATTCTTTTTTTAAAAGGCAAATTCCTTTTAACATGATATAGAAAACAATCAAGATTTGCCTTTCCATCTCAAAGGGCACTGCAAAAGGAAGAAGTAAGGGTAGTAATAGGATAGAGAGAGGGCAGATATTTATGAATATTTTATATATTTGTAAATATTTACAAGTGTCCGTAAATATTTGTTCAAATTTAATGTAAAGTTTTAAATAAAAAAATTGAATTAGATAATTTAAAAACATATATTTATATTAAAAATAATTTTATAATATATTTATACTAAAATTAAATAATTATTATATATTTATAGTAAAAAAGCAATTAAATCAAATTATTTTATATATAATTAAAAATGTTTTAAATATTTTTAAAGCGTAGATATCTAAAAGTACATATACCTTATTAAGTGATATCTATTTAGTTATTTAATTAAAATCTATAACTAATTTTATAAGTAGATATTTATGGGTACAAAAAAAATTTGTCATTTAAAAAAAAAAGCTCATAAGGACTTTACTTTTCACATATTTTGTAAATTGATTGTTTTGGAGGTGAACTCAAATTATCTACTCTTGTCGAGAGCAAAGAACTAATTAATTACTCGAGATACTCCCATTATTATATGATTTTTTTTTACTGTTTTAGAATTTTTTTAACAAAATTATAAAAATAAACCTCCAAAACTTTATTTACAAAAATAAACCCATTTATTATAGCAGGTCAGAATTTAGTTGTTGGAAACCGAATTTTGACCTATTACAATAAAAGATCTATTTTTATAAATAAAATATGAGGAAATTATTTTTGTAATTTTTTTAAAAAAAATTATAAAACAGTAAAAAATTCTTATTATATAGATACAGATACCCATTCAGTAAGGTACAGATACCTTATTATCGCTCACCATCTCATTATTAGGTGCACTCATTTAGTTAATCAATTAAAATTAATATATATAACGAGTTTTATTGGCAGATATTTATGGGTACGAAAATCCCTAAGAAGAAAGTTTGTCAGGCGAATCAAGAAAGGGAGACTTTGCTTCTCACATATTTTGTAAATTGATTAATGTTTTGGGGGTGAACTCAAATTATCTGTTATGGTCGAGAAGAACTAATCACTCAGATACTAACATCTATTTTAAAAGTAGATTTTTCTCAAAAGAAAAAAAAAATATCATAGGCAGGTTTGGAGATCAAAGCTTTTATTATATTCCGGTTTTATGAATAGATAAAGATTAGTTTGAAAATTTTCAACTGGTTTTTGAATAAAAAATGTGTTTGCAAATTAAGATGTGTACCTGAAACAATAGCTAAAACTAATTGTCTTAAAATCGTTTTTTAATAAATTTATTAAAAAAAAACTCTTTTTTATTACGATCATTTAGTTAATTAATTAATCATACACATATATTTATTATCAAAATAATTTAATTTTCACATATAGATACGAAATCACTGGTGGTACTAGATCTAGTGTCTCAAGCACACAACAAAAATATACTACACCCTCAATTTAATTGATGATGATACATTATAAGGGATGTATCAGAAGTCACCATCAACCTGGGTGGCATGAACCCTGGTGTATGCAAGGAGAAAAATGATAAATTTGATAATCAGCCATCACAATTCACAAACACAACCTTTATCTGTCAAAGTCCAAAAAAACATTATGAAAGAGTTTTGCATGTGGATCCTAACCTCCTTGGCAAGCTGGACTGAGTTGAGAACAATGACAGTGAAAGCACCCGTTCTGATGGAATAGATGGGTCCATATTTCTCAGCTAACTGTTTGAACGTTTTGTAAGGTTTCTTCTCCTTCAACTGCAGAAGATTCCCTATCACTGGTAGCCCCGGAACCGCTGCAACAATTATAAATAATATTTAATATTTATGCTCATATAACATACATATGTCTCAGGGTGACATCATATGAAAAATGAAATGAACATTACCTGGTACCGTGGGAAGTGTAGAATGTTTAAGGCCCCTGAGGCTGAGGAAGAGGAAAAAGAAAAGAGACAGAACCCCCAGCACGGCGGAGACGGCAAAGGGCTGTGTCTGAACTACTTGAAGGATAGTTCTGAGGGTCTCCATTGTTGTTCCTCTCTCTTCTATGTAATATGCATGTATTTGTAGTTGGTGTCTATGGTTTATATGGAATGTCTTCTATTCGGGAACACTCAATAAACACAATAAATTATCAATATGCTTGCTCACTCAATCTCAAATTATCTCCGCAAATTTATTATAAATGATAAATTTTACGTGTTTCACTTTTCTTTAGTAAATTTTTTTCTGATTTAGTTCTCAGACTAATTTTTTTTTCTTCTGATTTTATTTTTTTCTTTCGTTTTTACTTCATAATATTGATAAATAATATTGATGGTAAATATGTAAATTAATTAAAAATTAAATAAAATAAAAAATAAATGTACAATGATTAAAAATAATTAATGTTGTATTTAATTTAAAAACAAAAAAAATAAATAGAAATAAATTCTGCTAAAAAGACTAACGATTAGAACAAAGAAAGAAGGAAGTATTAAAATTAAAAAAAAAATAGAGATATAAACTATATATATATATATAGTTAAATTATAAATTAATTAATAATCAGATAATTACGCACTTGTCGATTACCACTGTTAGATAAAGATGATATAGTATATATTTTAAATAAAATATGTAAAATATGAACTGTTCGATACATATCCAACAGGTTTAATTATCTGAATGTGGATTCTCTCAGTGCAGAACATCTGAATTCCTAATGGTAATCCAGATTACACCTTGGAAATCCAACCTCATCCCTAGTCTTATGGCATTTTGTTTGATTGGATTGATTTTTTTCTAACTTTATTTTCTTCTTTGAACATAAACTTTTTCTTAGTAAAATCTAACTTTTTTTTTTCTTTATTTGAGGAGAATGCTCTTTGGAGGATAAATGATGAAAAGTAATTAAAAATTTAATAGTTAAAATTATATTCAATTATAATTTTTATTTTATGTATTTAGTTTTATTATAATTTTCAGTCATTAATTTTTGAAGTTGAAAAGTAATGATTGTGAATGTATTTTGGTTTGAACTTTATTAAAAAATTAATAAGTGATTAATAAAATAAATAATTTTAAGTAAAAAATTAATGTTGAAATATTTTTTCAAGAATCGAGTTTTTAAAAATAGAAAATTATGCATTGACATTATTAGGTAATTTCTTTTAAAATAACACTAAAATCAAACTTTAATAATAACGTTTTATTGTTGAATTGGCCACATAAATTTTTTAAGAGATGAAAATTTACTAAATAAATAAATTAGCATTTAATACAATAGTTATTGTTGTAAACACTACTAATATTTATTGTTATGAGAGGAGTTTGGTTCTCTTAGTCCAGTTTAGCTAGAAAAGAAAATATGTCATATAGAAATAATATAAATAAATAAATAAGTTTATTAAAAAAAACAAATTTTCAAGATTTCCTCTTATAAAAATTGAGTTGTGTGGATGATATATGTGAGCGAGTGAGTGTCATTAGTACACGAGTTGTTTCTATAATATCTTTTTTCATTGTGACGTACCTACGACATCTTATACATATAAAATTATATTTAATACATTTTTTAATTATATTAGTTTTGAAAATTATTTTGTTAAGTTATATATTTTTTTAAATCTAAATTTTATTAATAATATATGAAAATTAAAAAAAAAATCACAAATGTATTTAAAAAATTATTGATTTATTTAAAATTAAGTTTATTGACTTATTTAATGTTGTTAACGTAAAATTAACTTTTAAATAAATTAATGAGTCACACTTACACTTTAATTTTATAAAACAAGGTCAATGTATATATTTAAAGTATAAATTGATCTACCCTATTCTCAATCCTAAGGTTAAGACTTGTGGAGGAAAAAAAATATTATTGAGACGAGAGAACTTATTAAAGTTAATTAGCTAAATTTTCTTGTAAAAATTAATTACTTACAAAACAAGTGAATACTTCACACTAATAACATAATTAATAAAAAAAATTATAAACAAACATTCATTTATTGATTAAAGGAAAGAAAAATTTAAAATAATTGTGACAAATCAAAATCAAAACTAGAAAGTAACTTAATAAAAATTATAAAATGATTATTATAAAAATTAAAAATTTTATTATACATAAAAATCTATAATTAAATTGTAATATAAAAATATCATCATTGTATGATAATTAAATTTATGTTATTTCCATCTTTCACTTAAATTTTTATCTTTTTATATAAATGAATCTAAATAATATCATCCAAAAAAAAGACAACCTTTCTAAGGATTATTAAGATAAATTGAATTTGTTGGATGAACTCACATGACCCGTCAAAATTAGCGGAGTAGATTATTTAGTTTACCAACTCACAACGCTTAACCTGCCAACTTTACAGGATAGAATAAATAAGTTAGCCCCTCAATTTGAGTCACATAAATCAATATTTAATTTAATTATATATTTATTTACTTAAAAGGACATAGTATGTAAGTGTTTATAAAATAAAAAAAAGAGTGACACATTAAAATAAAATAAAAAAGTAGTGTCTTTGTTTTCTAAAATATCAAAAATTATTATTTTGATCTTTTAAATTTAAAGTTTAGTTTTTTAGTTCTTGTTATTTTAAAAATATATCCACTACAAGAAAAATGTAAATTATAGATGGATAATTCCTGGCAGATATAAATTTGTCAAAAATTTTATATTTTCGAGAGATTTTATGGACGGAAAAAAAATTTCGTCGAAAAATTTATATTTCCGATGAATATATCCATCGGTAATTTCCTACGAATACAAATTTATCAGAAAATTTATATTTGTGACGGATAATTTCCAACGGATACAAATCAGTCGAAAAATTTATATTTCTGACAGATATATCCGTCGATAATTCCCGATGGATACGAATCTGTCGAAAAATTTATATTTTCAACGAATAATTTTCGACGGATACAAATTCGTCAGTAATATAAATGAAAAGTTATTAAATTTTGTTAATAATTAATATATAAAAAATTGATTAGCTTTGGAATAAATTATTTGCAAATAATATAGTTAAAAAATTATTTATTTTAAATTATTTAACTAGAATTTTATTGAAAATTTACTATATGATCTTGATATTTTTGTATAATAAAAGAGCCGATTTTGAAAGTTAACTTTTAAGATCGGTTGTTTTGTAACCGATTTTAAAAGTCTGGGCTGCGAAAAAAAATTAAACTGGAACGGGCCGTTCCAGGTTGTTAAAAATGAGTACGGGTCGTTCTCCCTAAAGAACGTCCCGTTCTCCTTGCAGCACGGGTCGTTCTCCTTGCAGAACGGCACGTTCTCCTAGTAGAACGGCCCGTTCTCCTAGGAGCACGGCCCGTTCTGCAAGGAGAACGGCCCGTTCTACAAAGCGACCACGATATAGGGGTCAGGCCGAGCTATACTGATTACAAGCGGTCAGATGTTGAGATACATAGTACTAAGGTGATAAGTTGAAAGTTGTTTTAAAGTTGAAAGTTGTTTAAAGTTGAATCCCTTAGTACTGTGTGGGCGACATGGAAATAGTCGATCCATGTCATGGTTGAATGACCAATTTAAGTAAGGTATCTAGTTAAAGATGTAGTCTTTGACCAGGTACTGGAGGGTGCGTGGTACTTGGAGGATAGTGGGTGGGCTAACTCCACATGTGGATTGGTAAAGCTAGCCAAGGTCGTGGTAGGCTCATAGCGATAGGGTTTATGTCACCTAGACTGCTCAACTTCAGTTGTTAGAGATCTCCCAGTTGTACATGCGTGACAACGCATTAAATATTAAGTTGTGTATTGTTTTTGTTGTTGTTGTATTAAAGTTGCTTCTAAGTTGTATGAATGAGTTGGGTTTTTATGTTGAACTATATGGTCGTTTGTGATGATGATTGTTATGCATTTATTGCATGATTGTTAATATGATGAAGTATGTGGTGTCTTGCTTCATGATTGATGGATGCATGAGTAGTATTGGATAGAGTATGGTGTGACTCTATGTACATGATTGATAATTGGATGATTGTGTGGTATAGACTATTGTCTGTACTTGTATGATTGATTTTTGAACTCTAGCTTACCTTTCTATTTCCATGTGGTGAAACTGCGATGATCATACTTGATATGGGAGCAGGTCAGGGCTAGCTTGGAGTTGAGGTGACCGTTGCGAGACGGGGAGTTTTGATCCTTGTGTTAGAGTTATCACCTTGGGTAACAGTTTTGTGCTTGACCGGTACTAGGAGATAGTAGTTTTGGATAACTGTATAAATACTTAATAATTAAAAATTTAATGATTCTTATATATTTTTCATGTTTTTGTATTTATAAGTTATCCAATTTTATTATTTATCTTAGTTCACTATTTTTAGTGCGATTCCACTAAGTGTAGGGACCACGGCGGGTCGTTACAATATTAATTTATATTAGGTTATATTAATCTATTGGCCCCTATAATTTTATCAAATTTTTAAATAGGTATATTTACAGTTTAAAAATCTTGTGATTAAATCATCTACCTACAACTATTGTTAAAATTTTGTTAGTTTTTGTTGGCAGGATATTGTTACAAGGAAATTATTTTTTAATATGGCAATTAGTTACCTTTTATTTTCATTTATTTTAAATATTTGTAATTAAATTTCTGATTTTAATATGAAACATTAGTGGAAAAAAGGCTTTTAAAATCGGTTATTTTCAACTTTTAAAATCGGTTCCGTAACCGATTTTAAAAGAGCCGATTTTGAAAGTTAACTTTTAAGATCGGTTGTTTTGTAACCGATTTTAAAAGTCTGGGCTGCGAAAAAAAATTAAACTGGAACGGGCCGTTCCAGGTTGTTAAAAATGAGTACGGGTCGTTCTCCCTAAAGAACGTCCCGTTCTCCTTATGAAATCGGAACGGCCCGTTCTGAAACCAGAACGGCCCGTTCTGAAACCGGAACGGGCCATTCTGGTTGCACTTTTGGTGTGTTAATTTTGCACCTGGAACGGGCCGTTCTGGGCCCAGATGTTTTTAAAAAAAATTGTCATCCACATGACATTTACGTATGCATTTACGTGGCATCCATGTGGCCAAAAGTTAACTCCGTTTAAATAATTTGGATGGAAGTCCCACATTGAAACCAATTAATTAGCTTGGGACC